TCTACAGTGAAACCTCCGTTATCTCCAGGTCCTCGGGGGACTGGATCCCCCGGAAGTAAGAGGGGGATGGAAAATAGAGAATAGGCTTGGCAGAAGGAGGGGTACCAAATCAAAGCTAAACGAGTAATAATACATGATGGCGTACACAGTATATTTCGAATTCATAAAGTGGAAGAGAAAATTGTTCAAGTTTCCTTTAGCACTAGCATATCAATTTGAGTTTACTCTACTCTGAAAACATCAAGTAATCATCTACTTGCCTTCAAGTTTCCACCACTCTGCTTCACTCTCTATGAATCTAACTAGGACAAATTTTCAGCTGAGGTAAAGTACGATAAAATACTTTGCTGCACTGTTGACTCTTGAAGTTTCTGAATCCGCCAAACCTTCTCTAACTCTCTAAGAGATCTAAGGGCAGTAAGTCCGACTTTTGAAATGTCCGGATCAACCAATAGCTTGGTAATCAAGCTACGGGTAGCACTCAAGGCCTCTGTAGTTGAAAGAAGTATAGCACTCTCAGGCTGCTCTACCATAATGCTAGTGACCTCACCACTAGCAGTTCCACCAATCTCTTTTTCCTCCTCTTCAGTATGATTAATCATTCCAATGATTTCTTCATCCGTAAGCTCTTCAGTAACTGTGACCTCAGTTCCTGGGTTAAGAAACACTTCGATGGCCATAGGATCGTGGATGCGAAGCCTTCGAAAGTCTTTCTCAATTAAGACGGCTAACTCAGCGACCTAAATACAGTAGATATAGATAGTAACTTGATCTTCTATGTCGTATAATTTAAAGAGAGTAAAGAGAAAAAATAAACTGACCTCATGATATGCGGAATGGGAGAGAAGAAACAGGTCAGGGTTTTGGTTTCTTTGCTCAGCTTGAGCTCGATATAGCTCTGCAGCAGGACCAAAGGTTGGGATAGGATCGCTGGGCCGTTCAACTGGTAATCCGGGTCCAAATTTACCAGTAAGCCCAACATGCTTCCAACAGTTTGAAATTGTTGTAGCTGTAACCTTAGACCAGGCTTCTTTTCCAAGCTCCATTGCTTCTAACTGTGAGATTTTGAAAGGATTTTGCATGTTTTCCTCATCACGTAAAATTGCAAGTTGGAGGAAGGCTTGTCGGTAATAAGCTTTAAAAGTTCGAATTATACCTGCATCGAGGGGCTGCAACTGAGAGGTTGTATTGGGAGGAAGGAATTCAAGACGGATAGCCTTAAGAGAATAGTGGATTGGTTCGATATGAGCAGAGCAATTGTCAATTAAAAGGATTACTTGACGGTTTTGTCTTTCCATATCCTCATCAAATCTTTTTAGCCACTCCAACCAAATCGTCCTTGTCATCCATGCTTTTTTATTGAAGTAATAGTCATAGCCTAAGCTATGTACACTTCTTTTCCCAAAGCATCGAGGTCGACGAGCATGTCCAAGAACTAGTGCTTCACGCTGGTCGGTTCCGGTTCCATTAACACAAAAGCCATATGTTAAGCGTGTTTTTTCTCCTTTTCGTCCACTTGTCTGCCTAAGAGCAAGACCTACAAAAGGTGGCATTCGATAAAAGAGACCAGTTTCATCGAAATTGTACCGGTCTTCATCTGCGTAGTCATCACAGGCCTCATTGATCTGATCGATACGCTCTGTATAGTCGCTAAGGTTGACAGAACTAGCCTCTCCATAGAAGCGGTATCTACGAAGTCCACTTCGCATTTTGAACTTTGCAAGCCACCCATGGCTCCACTTTGGTCGATTGGCCTCCGGAATATTTTCGAGTTCACAAAATCGAGTCGCTTTTACTCGAATGGCTTCTTCAGTGAGAATGATTCCTATTACATTGCTTAGTTTTTAAACTAACTCATTTTTAGAAAAAAAAAGAAATCTGCTCACATACCTCTACCTTCACACTGTTGAACCCATAAGACAAGCATGGACTCAATCCGTGGTAGCTTGACACTGCTTACCCTCCGGCGAGTAAGCTCTGCACTTGTCATATTTGCCCAGTAATCATGCCCTTTAGCAATAATATTTGTAACTGTTTTGCTATCAACACCATAGGCAATAGCAAGAGAGGCATTCGTTGGTGAATTTCCGCCGTTCGGGGGAAACTTTTCTTTGTAAAGCTCAAACTTTGCGAGGTTGGTAAGGTTTCTATGCTTGGCTCGTGCTTGCTTTTCATGTGCAAGTAAACGTTGAGTACGCTTTGCGGAAATCAGTGGAGTATTCGGCATACTGATCGCGGTAGGTATTTTCGTTTTTCGTTTCACGGTGAGTGTCCGACGAGGAGCTGAGGAAAGGCTGAAGGGTACTTTATTTTCTTTCTGTTTTCTTGCAGCCTATTTATCTCCTGAAAATCCATCCAAACTTCTCGATTCCATAACCATAACTTTGGTCTTCTACGGGAAGTTGCATGGAAAATTTTTTCATGCAAACGGAAAAACTCTGGAATTTGGTGACTTTTACTGCCTGGAAACAGAAACTAATAGAACCCTAGAACTTAGAGGAGGAAAGCCCATAGAACGAAACCTGTCCCCGACAAATGATAGAAATACCGGAGATCTGGAAACATCGGAGGGTGGAGTTATCGGAGGTTTCACTGTATATACATTCAATTGAGAGCTATTCTGAAGAACTTTATTTGTCGTAGCTAGCGAGTAGCTAGTTGAACTATAGTGCTAAACGCTGCGACGTCAAACAGCTCTTGATGGACGTCGCGTATTTGTATGTACACATAAGTAAAAACACAGCGGGCGTGGCACGATTCCCCGTAGAACCGTGTGAGACATCTATATGCATTCAATTGAGAGCTATTCTGAAGAACTTTATTGTCGTAGCTAGCGAGTAGCTAGTTGAACTATAGTGCTAAACGCTGCGATGTCAAACAGACTCTTGATGGACGTCGCGTATTTGTATGTACACATAAGTAAAAAC